TCTTCTGAAGTGATTGACAACTGGGGCATTAAATGCGCAGGCCAGTCGGCACATTTAATGCCTCAAGCACGTCGTGTATGCCATCATTGCCCAGGGCGTCGCTTCGTTTTGTCAGAGGAAACGACGGCCTCTGGGCTTTTGACACGTCATTGCGCCTGTTGAGCGTGCTGACAGAACGTTACGTCTCTCGAGAGAGACACGCCCTTTTGTTTCGAATTCTAGCGCCAATATAAGAACCCAGACTTCCTCGCTTTCTCCTTACGCTTTCAGCATTCTCAGACGCCCAAGCTTTGTCAAAAACCCGTCTCTCAAACCTTCAAACCCACCAAACTCTTGAACCTCTAAGTTTACCAGAGAATCCTTCCTGAGCTCGCGACTTTCCAGAACCTACAAACCCTCTCCTTTTTTTTCAGGACTTTCTTCCAATGTTCTTCACGTTCATCATCTTGTTTTTGCATTTCCCCCTTAAACACTCATCTCAAACCTGCTCTAATGGCCTCCACTACCTCCACATCCGTCGAAGTTCGGTCCCAAGCCTTCCATACTGAATTCGAGGCTATTTGCCGAGACATCCAGGATTCGGTCCTCCCCAACATCATCGCGCACATCATCGCGCCCTGGGCTGATGACGATGGTGCCCCTACTGATTCCTGCGTTCTCGGCCCCTCCATTGACGGCGGAATGCCAGAGAGGCTTGTGGCCCATTTGAAGAACAATCTGGTGGATCTCTCGGCCTTTGACGGGGGGGGACTTCCAGGATTGGAACGTTATCAGGCCGCAACAACAATGGCCCACTGTGACTCCCGATTGGGAGAAATGGCTGCCGAGGATGGAACACTTCTTCGGTCAGCAATGGAAAGATCAAGGCATCTACCACTTGATCAAGTTGTTCGATCGGCCGCTTGTCATGGATCGGTCGCTCTTGGCTGCGGCCTTGTGCTTTTGGTCGTCGGCCACCAATACTATGAACTTTCGGTTCGGCATGATGACGCCGACCGTTCTAGACATGGCCGCCTTGTTCGGCCTGTCCCCTCTCGGCGTGGAAGTAAACGCCGCCCTCGTTGCTCCTGAGGTGGAAGGGAGCTTTAAAACCATGTGGCCCACTCTCACGAGACTTGCTGGGAACAAGGCGAAGAATATGCTCAACTACTCCAACTTCTACAGGAATTTTGGAGTGGAGGACAGCGCCGAAGACGACGTCATCGCCCCCCTCGGCGAAGTTGAGCATGCTGCATTCTTGTTGTACTGGTTGTGCAAGTTTGTACTCTGCACCCAGGCGAACAAGGTTACCCTGAAGTTCGCTCACCTGGCTGATTACCTAGCGCAGGGCGGTAGGTTAGCACTTGGCCCATTTTTGCTCGGCCACATCTACCGCACGCTTCACGACATCGTCACCGATGGAATGAAGTCGAAGCACGGTGGTCCGTTGTGGGCTTTCCAATTCTGGCTACAAGCCTACTTCCCAGAGCTGAGGGCGGTGGCCGATATCAACGATGCCGAGCCGCTGGCCAATGCATTTGCCCGAGCCCCCAAGAAGCATAACACCTTGGCCCTCTGTTACAAATTTTTCTATGGCCTGGCTGAGAGGACTGGTACACAGTTCCGAGTCTGCCTTGCTCGGCCATTCCCCCTGTTCCTAACTCACGACCTCTCCGTCATTCCTGATGTTGAGACGGAGAACGATCTGAAGGAGATCTAGGGCTCCTTCCTGGTTTCGCGCGACCTTCACTGCGGCTTGTCCAAGGCCGGGGCCGATGTTTATCTGCCAAACTTCGTGGCGCGACAGTTCGGCCTAATCCAAACGGCCCCACTCCCTCCTCTGTCAACCAACCAGCTCTCGTCCTGGAGGGCCGATGTCTCTCAGCAGCACGGCGTGGCTGGCATAACCTTCCAGCTTCAACAGGGGATGACCTTCCTGACTCTGATGCCCTGGTCGCGTCGTAATGCGTATGACGAAGATGGAAGGGTTTGGTACGAGGAGTGTATCTCGGCCAGATTTATCATGCCTGTTGAAGAGGCCGCAAGGGTGGCCCTGAAGAATGCAGATTGGGACCCTCTTACCCCCAAGGGCAGCAAAGTGAAGAAGGTATCAGCCGGGCCACCTCGACCGAGTACCCCGGCCGTGGCCGTTCCTAGGGTGACGGCCCCTCCCCTGGCTGGAACAGCGGCCGTGGCTTCCACTGTGGCCCCCTCCTTAACTGCAGCCCCTGCTCGCATGATCTGGAGGTGATCAAAGAACAAGTTCAACCTGCAATGGCCCGATTGAAAGAGAATGACCTCGTTGTCCAACGAGAGAATGAAGAGGTTGCGCAGGTTGGGGCCCAGATTGCCGAACTCCAGGCACGCCGAGATCTCATACTCCAGCGCCGAGACGGCGCGGTCGCAACCGGGAACGAGCTGAAATCTTCGGCCAAGCGAATCCTCAAGGCCGCGACCGAGACGAAGAAGGCCCTGGCCGAGCGGAAGCTGATCCGAGCGAGGTGGCAGGCGGACATTGATGGCGGGGACATCGCTTGGAAAAGGATCACCTGCCTGATCTGGGGGATGTTTAGTGAAGGGGTCTAGGCAGGCGATGATCGGTTGTTTTAACTATTTCTTCCTTTTTTTCTTTTGGGATGTAATAAATAACCACATACATTTTATTTTATTTACACATATATTTTCTCCTTTGTTTACGACCACAGACAGATATATGTATATGTTATTTCGGCCGTGACTGGCTGTTCTGTTTTTGTAAGTAATGCCCCTTTTAACTAAATGTCAATAGTAGGGGAGGAGGCTACGGCCGGGGTGCCGTATGTAGAGGAAGCGGCCGCTGCCCATATGGTGGTCGAGGAGGGGGGAGCCGCAGAGGCGGCGGTTGAAGAGGCGGTTACTGCCGAGGAAGTGGTTGAGGTACTGGATGCTAAGATCGCGTCCGAAGTGCCGCCTGCCGAGGAGACTGCCGAAGACGCGACCGAAGAGATCGCCGAGGAAGCCGCTGAGGAGGCTGCAGAAGAGGCCGCCGACGAGGGCGGCGAGGAGGCCATTGAAAAGGCCGCTGCGGACGGGCCTGTTGAGCCATTGCCGTCCGCCCCTCGTCGCCCAAGCGGCATCGCCTTCCGCTCGATAAGAGTCTGCTTTCCCTATACTTGGCTTTATCGTTCTCTCTTTAGAACGGCACTATACTTCTGACCCAATTTTTGTCTCTAACCTCCCCAATCGTCGCCGCCGCTGGCCATGGTTGCCGCAACCATGCCCCCTGCACCGTTGTTTTAGGACTCGACGGTTGTGACCGAGCCGGTAGTAACTGGGGGCGCGGTCGTGAGTGTGCCGAGTCTCCTGCGGACTACTTCGGCGGG